CAGTAGCAGTAGCAGTAGCAGTAGCAGTAGCAGTAGCAGTAGCAGTAGCAGTAGCAGTAGCAGTAGCAGTAGCAGTAGCAGTAGCAGTACTTGATATTCATAACCTCAGGCAAATTTTCAAGTCATACACAAGAACAGTTCCTAACCGTTGATAAGACCAGACACAGCTGCCTGTGCATTCTCTCTCTCTCCAACTGACGCTGCGATAGACCCAGACAAATAAGGATCTGGTCCACAGTTACAGGCTCCCGCCAAGAACATGAACAGACAGTTTATACTAATACCCATGTGACTAGTATAGTGGAAGGCAGCAAGGAAGATTGTACTGCCAAGAACTGTAAAACAGACGCCATGGACAACGCGACCTGAAAGAAATCTTTGGGGAAAATACATAGAAAATTGCATAAGTAAGCGCATAGATTGATAACCAATTATTACCACTGTTTTCCTTGCTATACAATGATCGAGAGAGCAGTCGCGACGGCGAACTCGGGCAATAGACTGCGGTCAATCAGAGCATGCAAAGGTACTGAACAATTTACTTGATTGAAAGAAATTAGTCCGTTTTTCTCTATCGCAAAAGTTGTCTCGATCAACGTGTAGCAATRAAGACAGTGGTAAAAAGAAGTGATGTTGTACTAGCTACTAGGTGGTGTGCATCCCTACTCTTGAGAATAAATGACCCACCCCCCCTGTTGGTTGACATAATAGAAGACAGCAAACATGGGGCTCTGAGGATAAATGCACCGAGTGACCGTGTGATATGACTGACAAATGAGATGAGGGGATAGAAGGCAGAAGGGATAGAATATCTAACCTGTTTATAATAATGCCAAGACCTACTGATCCAGCCACTCCACCGATCTCAAACACAGTTGATAAGAGCCCCGCCTGGTACTTGGAATAGCCAAGCTATGGGAAAAGATAATAAGATGAAAAAGAATGATAAGGGGGTGGGGTGGGGGCGGGGGGCTATACGGATTTAGGTTTTACAAAATTTTTTTTGGGATGCCCCCACTCAAACAAAACATATGTTTCTTGAAGATAGATGTTTTAAGAAATATTTCCGATAGCAACGCTCCATAATTATGTGTAAAAAAACTCGATGGCAGGGAAAGAAAGACCCCGGGGGGGGGGGGGGGGCACCCCCCCAAAATTGGGGTAAGGGTGTTCCGCTGGGATTCTGAAAGGGGTACCCTGTTTATGACAAAAAGATATAATTAATTGCACTGAGTTCCTGTTTCAATTATCATGTCATCTCACGTATCATTTTTTTACGACCATGGTAACCAGTTCCAGTCAATANACCCCCCCGACCCTCCCCCTGGATCCGCCCTTGAGACATCTACAATATAAAAATAAAAAAGTGATGAAGATGAATCAACACTATAGAAGCTGATCTTTTTAATTTGATTATCCATAGACATAGCAGCTTCCAACCCACAGTACCTTTTTTTTAATATAAAAATAATGCTAATAAAATCGAAGGAAATGTGATTGATTGAAGCTAAAACGTTTTGGACAAACTAACGTGCGAAATTTGAATATGTAGTAATTACATCTAGAAAACAAGTAAACTCTCAACTTCTTTCCTCACTTCAAATCAAACATTTCATTTCTGATCTGTGACTTAATCGTCTACGTCATCTTTGATATTGCCTACGTCATCTCGAGCCTCATTGTCGGTGTCATCTCTGACATCGTCTATGTCATGTATTACTTCATTGTGTACGTCATCTCTGACATCACTGCTTACGTCATTTATGACTTCATTGTCTGCGACATCTCTGGCTTTATCATCAGCGTCATCCGTCGCGCCATTTTGAACTTCTTGCACGTAATTTTGCGAGTCATTGACAACGTTATCATGTTCCATAGTTCGCGGCGGACAGACTGTAACTGTAGGATCGGTCTGGTATTCTGAGATAACGGGGGCAGGTCTAAAATGGTGCAAGAAAGCCACCTTATCGAGTAAACAAGACGGTTTAAAAATAAATATTTTTATTTAAATGTCTAGTCGTTCTAATGCCGGTGGGGGGGGGGGTACTACGCCAGAATTTGGGTAAGGGTGTTCCGCTGGGATTCTGAAAGGGGTACCCTGTTTATGACAAAAAGATATAATTAATTGCACTGTGTTTATGATTCAATTATCATGACCCCCCCCCCCCCCCCCGGGAGAAAGACACAAACGCAAAACTTTTCTGCAATGCCTTAAATGTCATTCAGGTGTATCTTTTAGAGCATTACTTATAACAAAGAGAAAAATAATACTCAAGGGAATCAGGTACGCTGTCTGGCCAATGGTAAAAACATGGAGTGTTATGGTCTTCTTTTACCCTCAGTCAGGTAAGGCAACGACGCTCTATATTAAACTACTGGATACAATACTCCATGACAACTGAGTCTCTTATGAATTTAGTCTGATGTGATCTGATCTGACTGAAATAAAAACAACAAACACACGCACACACAAAAAGGAAACAAACAAACAAACAAACAAAAACAATTAAACAAACAAGCAAACAAACAAGCAAACAAATAAACAAATAAAAAACAAACAAACAAACAAACACAAAACAAATAAAAACGAAAAACAAAACAAACGAAAAAACAAAAACAACAAAATCTTGAAGACCAAACAAACAAACACAAAACAAATAAAAACGAAAAACAAAACAAAACAAAATAAAAAACAAACGAAAATAACAAACGAACAACAAAAGACCAAACGAACAAACAACACAAATTATGAACATCTTGTATCACCCTTAACAAAGTCATGTCTTTTTAAGAATATAATCAAATCAAAATACTCACGGATTGGAAAAGGTACATTGGAAGCCACATGTACATACAATATCGCACTAGTTTAATGCAAAAGTTAGTCCATGAAAGTTCAGGAACCATTCTAAAAACAGAAGACAAGAAAAATGTTTGCATGAGAAAGGAATGAAGGAAAAAATCCTTAAATTTCCTTAGGGATAATGTTTTGGAATTTCTACAATCCTAAGACTTTCTTTCTATTGCTACTGCTTCGTTTAAATGGGGTGGCATGTACTGTGGCGTAACGTAGTGTCTTTAGCTACCCTCCCCTCCCCTCACTTTTCCCCCATTTTTAAAATTTTCCTCCATACTGTGATAGTATTGTGTGACATACAGTATTGCGTGACATACAGTATTGCGTGACATACCGTATTGCGTGACATACCGTATTGCGTGACATACCGTATTGCGTGACATACCGTATTGCGTGACATACAGTATCACATGCAGGACAGTTAGAAGGAGAATTTCTGTTTGTAGAGTGTGAGATAGATGAGTTGCATGGTTTATGCTAGTTGATGTAAAACAAAAGCACTTACATTAAATTAGCCTCCATCGTTCCCCCGCACCCTCAAAACTGTGCTCCATTATCCTTGGGTAGGGTTTAACCCTGTAATACAGTTAATTGTACTTTATATAACTATACCTGAGGTTCCATAACTGTACATATGAAAGTGACCTTTGTTCTGCGTTTGAAGGAGGAAATGAACTTGTGGGCACCTTTGTTTCTGTTGGTTCGAAAACATTATGCATTATTGTCACTACTCACGAACCAGGTGATTTGGAATCTAGGGGCACAAAGCATTGTTTGTCACAGAGAACATTTCCAATTATTTTCTATTTATCTCTCGTCAAAATGAAATACTTTCCACCACCACCAACAGAATATGCTCTGTGATGTGGGTGTATTGTATTTAGTGTGAATATTGTGTGGCGTAGCATGTCTAAGTATGATGATGGTAAGGTATGGAAGTGTTCTGTGTGGGCATGTGGTAGTGTGGTGTGGATTTGTGTAATGTGGGTGTGTTTTATATAGTGTCAATATATGTGTGGC